ATCGACCAGGGAACACGTCCTAGTGTCCAGCCAGAGTTGTCATTGGTGATATCCACAACATCACAGATTTCTGTTAGCCCCACATGAATGTTTTGGTTCCTGGGGATGAGCACCCATAGCAACCCACCCGCACCCACATAAACATAAGCACACCTATTATACTTCATTGCCTGTGGGCAGTGATATCTGCGGGTCTCCATCTAGGTCCACACACACCCTGGAGCCAGGGTGGACACTCACCTCCCTCTGTGCAGATTATTGGCCCAGAGAATACCTTTAAGCATGAGACTCCTTTGGACCTGGATGATGGGGGTGTCCCCTCCCCTCTGCAGTCCCAGAGCAGGTCAGTCCACTCTTCCAGCCCTAGCACAGGGTCCAGATGTAACCTCATAATTGGATCATCCAACTTTTCATGGTCTCCAATTCTTGGGTCAAGCAGGTGATCTATTTATAATTTCATTCACAGTAACAACCTACAGGAGAGCCAGGAGACGAGATCCTGCATCCATGGCTCTGTTCATGAAAATACACAGATAAGCGCTTTTGCCCAGGACTGGTCTAAATCACTGGGTGCAGTGGTGAGGACATGAGTTGAGTGGGTGACCTGCCCTTGTCACTCAGGTGTGAAGTGTCAATGCAGGATCAGAGAAGGTGTTAATATGTAAATGTGTCACTCACAGAGAAGGGCTTACCCAGGGGGCTCCCAGGGAGGTGACACTGATTGCAGCGATGATAAAATCTCACAGCTCTGCCATCCTATTACATACTTTACACATGAACATACCTGGTAGTGAAGCTGTATTAGGGGAGTTAAGTCCACTCAGGATCAGTGAGCCAGTGGAGCAGATCTGACCTACCAGAAGCAGTGGACTGAGCAGCTTTGACAAATTTCAACATGATGTGTACCTGTAGCTGCTGTCCCCAAACTTGCACACCCAGGACTTTAAACATGAGAGGATAGAGGAGGCAGGAGCAGAGATGTTCCCTAACAGTGTGGAACCCCTGGGCTTGTGGTGGAGTGTGGTTGAATGTCTAACTTGCATAGGGCAGTTGGTATTAGATCATTATTATGTTTTAGTGGTTTCTGTTTCCTCCTGTAGATGATCACACCCTGTCTTTGTGAGGACTGTGCTGTGGGGTGTGTGTCTCTTCCTGGCTCCACTGGAAAGCTGGGGTTGCCTGGGTGGCAGCCGTGAAGTGTGTCTCTGCTGTGGCCACGAGAGAGTTCAGGTTCCTCCAGTGATCCCCTGTTTCTGTTCCCTGATCGGCATTGTGATCTCCTTGGGCTCTCCCATGTAGAGTCTACTTCCACTCTCTCCAGTGCACTCCACTGCTCCACTCAGGTGGCAATCGTTAATGTGGTGTAAGGGGTGGGGCCACAAGGATGCTCTGACTTGCTGCCCAAGCCTTCTCCTCAGGTGTTCACCGGGAATCTGGCTCTGGGAGAGGCCTGCTCCTGTCCCTGCCCCTCCTCCACCAGCAGTCCAAGTCCAGGTATTCTTGCCCATCTCAGGTACACAGTCATTTCTGTTCTTCGTTGCTCACTCCTGCAACTCCAGTTGTCCCCGGGTGTCCACAACTTCCTGTTTTCCTACCTTTTCCTGGAGATTAAAGCTTTCATTCCATGTGAAAAGGGTGTGTGGTCCTCAACTGAACCCTGGTGGTGACATCTGTTCCTCTCCCAGATCCTATGTGACCACAGGATGCTAATTCTGAGGGTTTTCCTCTGCAGATAAATTCTTTATTTCTGTGGTGGATATGGGGGCATGGGTCTCCATGCATTCCTACTCTGAGTCATCTTCCTCCCATCCTGCCAGGACCACTGGGGGTGGGTGGGTGGTGATTTGTGATTTGTCCCCATCCTACAGGAAAGGGATGCACGAGGACAGTATCAGTTTAGTAATGTAGTCCTGGAGAACTTCACACTATAACACCTTTAGCGCACTTGATGTCAAGAAATCCATTGCATACCATAGCTAAATCTGGTGATAGTTTCTCGTAGGGGTCTGTGTTCACAATATGCTAAGGTGCTGGTTCTTAGTCCCCCTGTGAGCACTTTTCTATCACCAGTGTTTAAGTTTGTTGTTTGTCTAATGACCACAATTATCAAATATACTGATTCAAATTTGCTGATCTGCAGCTTGTCATATTTATTTTCTTAGTTCTTGCAACTCCAATCTGAGGCATGACTTTATTGACATACAGAAACATGCAAACAATCCCAAGCCCAATCATCAGCTTAAGAATGGACATATTGTGCTCAATGCCATTTTGGAAACCTGCCCATCATTAAAAACTATGATTTGTGCTACAAACAGAAACACGGTGGTATTGTAGAGGATTTGGTTAAGGAAATGAAAGTACATTTAATACAATTACAGAATTATATATTCTATAAAATTAAAGCCAATCTAAGGTAACTTGAGAAAGATCAATAGTTATGTGGGGACAGAGTGAAGAAGGGAAGATTGGAAGGAGGCATTCTAGGAGAAAAACAGGAAATTGTAGGGAGAATTGATTTGCTCACTCTGGATAAAGTGGATTCTGACACCTGCATTTATCATATCACAGACTCTGCATGCGTTCAGTTCATCCTGTGTCAAATAGACTCACCAAAGCCATTACAGATAATCACAGAGATGACTCTGGCAAAACACAGAGATAGTAAAATGTTAGAGGCTGGAAAATACAGCTGCATGAACCCTGATTCTGTATTTCAGGTAAACTCGAGAACAAGCAAAATCATCCTGTCCCCATTACAGGAGGGGTTCTGCAGGTTGTTCGGGGGAGAAATAATGTCTATTTGGGATGAGCACAGAACAGATCCTGGGGTCACTCTCACCCCATATATGCTCTTGGACACCTTACAAACCCTCTAAAATTCTGGGTGTAGGTTCACATCTCTTACTGGGGTTATATGAAATCTACACCTCAAGATTTCTGTGCATGTGTAAAGAAAGGTAACACATGGAGGCTACCTTTGTGCTCTGGAAAATCATATAATAAAAAAATCATATTTTTCCAAACGCTGTCAAACCACAAAATCACAGCAGTCACACCTGCTCTCATCCCTGACGTCTCAGTCAACCTAGATCTCAAGCTGGCTATACACTTAGAGGGTATGCAAATAGGCCCTCCCTCTACTGATTATATCAGCCAAATGACACCCTGCAGCTGATAGAAGAGCCCCAGCCTCGGGATTCCCAGATGTTCCCATTCACTGATCAGGACAGAACACAGACAGCTCACCATGGAGTTTAGGCTGACCTGGGTTTTCCTTGTTGCTGTTTTAAAAGGTAATTTACAGAGAATAAGAGACCTTGAGTATGTGAGTGGATATGAGTGGGAGAAACAAGGGATGTGTGACATTATCCTGACCAGGATGTCTTGTGTCTGCAGGTGTCCAGTCTGAGGTGCAGCTGGTGGAGTCTGGGGGAGACCTGGTGAAACCTGGGGGTCGCTGAGACTCTCCTGTGTACCCTCTGGATTCACTTTCAACAGCTACTACATGCACTGGGTCTGCCAGGCTCCGGGCAGGAGGCTGCAGTGGGTCACATGGATTAGGTATGATGGAAGTAGCACAAGCTATGCAGACTCTGTGAAGGGTCGATTCACCATCTCCAGAGACAACGGCAAGAACACGCTGTATCTGCAGATGAACAGCCTGAGAGCTAAGGACACAGCCATGTATTACTGTGCCAGTGACACGGTGAGGGGATGTCAATGTGAGCCCAGACACAAACCTGAGTGTAGAAGGGGATCTGGACCACCAGGGAGTACACAATACTCAGCAATTCTGTCCTTCAGCCCCAGGCCCAGGTGTAGAAGGTGGTTATGGGCAGGTTTCTTCTCAGGTTCTGGGGCTTCCTCTCTAATTATAGCTTTTTCCCCCAAGCAAGAGATGGAAGAACCATGGTCCAGTCACTGTCTTAAACCGTGCTCACAGCATCAATATTATTGACTGACTGGCAAAGCAGAGGGAAACCCACCAGGACATGGTGTGGATGTGGACTCTGAAGATCACACACACACACACACACACACACACACACACACACACACACACTGATTATAAAACTTTCATCATCCTCACTATGGGAGGAGCGTGTTTGGAGTCAATCTCCTACCTGCATCAAAGGAGGGAGAACACACTGGTTCTTGTTAGATTTCCCATGTGTGTGTTGGGTGGAGAAGAGAGAGGAAAGAAGTTCAAGGAGCTAGCAGGCAATAATCAAGGGATAGAGTATGATGACTAATTCCACTAAACAATATGAAAACTTGGAGAACAAATGAGACAAATGGCCATTCCAAGTAGACAGAGGTCTGAATCCTAGGAAAATGAGATTGATTACAGGGACGCAGCACACATTATGAAATGATCATTGAAGTGGACTGATATCTTACCCAGTGTTTTAGGTGGAATTTGTCCACTCCACAAAGTCACCAGCTGGTACCGAAGGTTCTGTGTTCACTGTGTGCATGTGAAGAACAGAAGTTTCAGTTGGATCCATGAGAGTCCTCATGTTGAGGTGCTCCATGGGAGGAAACTTCCACCTGCAGGGAATAACTAATTGATTCTCCAGTTGCTGATATCAGCTCAAAGTGTATGACCTCTACCATCCCCATGTTGAAACTTAAGGCCAATGTGATGGTAGGAGGAGGTCGGGGCTTAGGGAAGCACAAAGGCCCGGAGGGTGCAGTCTCTTGATGGGATTAGTGCCCTTATAAACCAGGAATGGGAAACTCCTTGCCCCCTGATCCCATGTGAGGGAATGCAAATAGGGCCCTCCTTCTGCTGATTAAAACAGGGAGAGGAGCCCCAGCTTTGGGAAACCCAGGTGTTCCCATTCACTGATCAGGACAGAACACAGACAACTCACCATGGAGTTTAGATGACCTGGGTTTTCCTTGATGTTCTTTTTTTATTGTTATGTTAATCACCATACATTACATCATTAGTTTTTGATGTAGTGTTCCATAATTCATTGTGCATAACACCCCAAAATATGGAATGCTTCATGAATTTGCATGTCATCCTTTTGCAGGGGCCATGCTAATCTTCTCTGTATTGTTCCAATTTTAGTATATGTGCTGCTAGAGCGAGCACTTCCTTGATATTCTTTTAAAAGGTAATTCATGGAGGACAAAAAAGATTGAGTATGTGAGTGGATATGAAGGAGAGAAACAGTGGGTGTGTGAAAATTTCCTGACCATATCTTGTGTCTGCAGGTGTCCATTGTGAGGTGCAGCTGGTGGATCTTGGGGGAGACCTGGTGAAATTTAGGGGTCCCTGAGACTCTCCTGGGCAGCCTCTGGATTCACCTTCAGTAGTAATGCCATGAGCTGGGTTTGCCAGGGTACAGGGAAGGGGTTGCAGTGGGTCTCAGTTATTAGATATGATGAAAGTAGCACATACTATGTAGACTCTGTGAAGGGCTGATTCTCCATCTCCAAAGACAACACCAAGAACACGCTGTATCTGCAGATGCATGCCTGAGAACTGAGGACACGGCAGTATATGACTTTGCAAGTGACACAATGAGGGGACATCATTGTGAGCCCAGGCAAAATCTTAACTGTAGAATGGGATCTAGAGCACCAGGGGGTGCACACTACTCACCAATTCCGTCTTTAAGGCCCAAGAACAAATGCAGACATATATTATGAACAGGTTTCTTGTCAGGGTCTGGGGCTTGCTCTACATATACAGCAGTTTCTGCCAGGGAGCCTCTCTGAACACTTGATTCTGTGCATAGTTATTCAGACACTGATTTAGAAACTTTTTTTGTAGGCAATCATGTGGTGACAAATTCTACTAAACAATATGAAAATTGCAAAAGACAGATTTGCTTAGACCTGCTTACTATTGTCCCTAAATGCCAATGAATTACAAATATCTCTATGTAATTTAACTTTTCCATTATAGGAGTCCCAGCTGTATGCACTTTGCGTCACAGAACCACCCAGCTCAACATGCAAACTTGTTAGAAGCAGCATAAAGTGCATGCTGGACTTGAAGCTATAGAGCCATCAACAATCCAAAGCAAGAGAGGAAGGATCCATGGTGGCAGTCACTGTCTTGAACGATGCGCACAGCCATGTTAGTGACAGCATGGGAAAGCAGTGAATCCTCCTTCAGCATGTTGTGTGCATGTGTACTCTAATGACCATGGACACACACACACAGAGTGACACATGCACACATACACACACACACACAGTGACACATGCAAACACACACACACACACAAACAGAAACATTTATCACCTTCTTCACCATTGTGTCTATTGAGAACAGGTCAGACTTTTCAGCAAGTCATAACTGCTTGGATAGAACCAGGGAAGGACACTGGCTCAGGGTGTGTGCTGCGGGTCAGTGGTAGGGAGGGGGTCCTGCTCATGGGAGGGACTTGTGTGGAGTCAATGTCCTACCTGCATCAAAGGAGGGAGAACCCGTGGTTCTTGTTGGATTTCCCATGTGTGAGGCAGGAGGAGAAGAGAGAGGAATGAAGGTCAACAAGCTAGTCAGCAATAATCAAAAGATATCATGTGGTGACAAATTCTACTACACAATATGAAAATTGCAAGAAGAAAAGAAAGAAATAGCCATTCTGAGTAGAAAATGGTATGAATCCTTGGAAAATTAGAAGAATAATCCATGGAAACCTCACAAGTAAAAAGATAATGATAGAAGTAGACCGAGTTCTACCCAATGTCTGCAGTGGAAGCTGTCCATGCCCCAAGGTCACCAGCTGGTTCTGAAGATCTTGTGTTTGCTGTGTGCATGCAGAGACCAGAAGCTTCTACTGGATTCATGAGAATCCTCAGGTTGAGCTGCTGGATGGGAGGAGCCTTCCACCTGCAGGGACTAACTAATTGATCTTTCAGTTGCTGATATCAGGTCAGTGTGTATAACCTCTCCCATCCCCATGTTGAACCTAATTACAATGGGATGGGAGGAGGAGGGGGGGCCTTAGGGGAGCACTTAGGTCAGGAGGGTGCAGCCTCATAACAGGATTACTGCTCTTTTACACCAGGACTGGGAAAGCTCTCTGCCCCTTGACCCCATGTGAGGTGACAGGGAAAAGACATACTAGGATGTGGCTGCTCTCTGGACACCAAATCTGTCTGCACCTTGACCTGGACTTCCCAGAATCCAGAACTCTGAGAAATGAGTGTCTGTTGTTTAAAACTACCCAGTCCATGTACATTCTTACAGCAGGTGGAACAGACTAAGATGTTAGTGACACATGAACCCAAGCACTGATGCTCTGGTGTTTCCCTCCTGCATTTGTTGTGAAAAGTACCTGATAAGCTCCTTCACTGAGGTTCAAGGGTGGATATCTCACATGTTCCCTCCTGCAGATAGGACTAAACAGATGACTCTCCTAGGGCTCTGTGAAAAGACACAGTGGACACACAGAGGGAGAACCTTAGTACAAGGGACTCAAGGTTTCCTAGAGTTGGTGGAACTTTAATTTAAGGATGCTGTTTTTTCAGTCTTCCAGAAGATGTGGATGTGATGACTCTGTGGGATTCGAGTCTGACCATCACCTTACAGAATTGTGTTGTACTGAAAGCCCTGAGGTTAGGCACCTTTGTCTCCTTGCTCCTTCCAGGATTCTTTCCTTGTCTGTGTTGTATTTTGTGAGTTTGACTATGATACCTTAGAGATAGTGGGCTTTTGTTGAATTTAATGGGTGTTCTCTGTACTACCTCGATTTTGATGTCTGTGTCCTTCTGCATAGTAGGGAACTTTTTGGCTATTACTTCATGGAATAAACATTCTCCCCCTTTTTTCTCTCGCTTCATCTTCTGGGACTCTTATGATACGAACATTATTATGTTTTCTGTTTTGTTTTTATTTTATTATATTAATCACCATACATTCCGTTAGTTTTTGATGTAGTGTTCCATGATTCATTGTTTTGCATATAACACCCAGTGCTCCATGCAGAACATGCCCTCTTTAATACCCATCAACCACTTAACGCATCCCCCCAACCACCTCCCCTCTAGAACCCTCAGTTTGTTTCTCAGAGTCCATAGTCTCTCATGATTCATCTTCCCCTCGAATTCCCCCCCTTCATTTTCCCTTCCTGCTATCTTCTTCTTCTTCTTCCTCTTCTTCTTCTTCTTCTTCTTCTTCTTCTTCTTCTTCTTCTTCTTCTTCTTCTTCTTCTTCTTCTTCT